TGGTCCAGGAGGTGCTGAAGGAGGTATTGGTTTCGAGGGTATGGCCGGAGGAGGTGTGGGGGTGCGTGGTGACTCTTCCACCGCAGCAGCAGCACCCTCAGCAGTTTGGCAGTGGGTCTCGCAGCAGCAGTGGGGTCTTGTTGGCCCGAGGAGCACCGGCCGCGGTGTTGGGCCTGCCAGCTAGGCGTTGCATGGCCCTCATGCTGGGCATTGCCAGTACCAGCTACAAATTGTTCCATGCCGCAGCTTTGTCTGCGTATGTCATGATCACTCTGGAGAGCAATGCTTTGGCCACCTCACTGACCTCTACCGCGGCCGCTTTGAGCACACGGTGCCCATCCGGGGTGCTACTCCCCGTCTGCGCTTCTCCGCCGGGGCGTGAATGTGTTTATTATGCACATGGTTGACGTAGCTACTGTTTTGTATGCATCTGACTTTAGTGTTGTTGGACACTATTATTCTTGTGCATCTTGTGTAGCATCAGTAGCTGGTGCGTGTGTAGGATCTTCTGCTATTGCTAGCATATGTGCGACCACTGCTTACGCGTCGCTGACTTTTACACTCGACTCCGGCGCCTCTCAGTATTTCTTCCGCAACCACACGAGCCTCGCACCTCTTCGTGCACATATTGCAGCCGCACTGGCCGACCCCTCCTCGGGCCCGGCCGTTGCGCACAGCTCCAACACACTCCCGATCCTGGCAGTCTTCTTTGGCTCCCTAACGTGTCTGCATATCCCATCATTCTCCAGGAACTTGGTTGGTGTGGGTCCTCTTCATGACCTGTGTGTCACGACCACGTTTCCTGGGCACTGGCTTTCCTTGCGACCGCTACTCCTCACCTCTGTGCCATGCTGCTAGCCTATGAGATTGACACGGATGCTCTTGACACCCCGACTCTTCGCACCTACGCTGAGGCTATCTCGGGACGCCTCTTAGTGCATAGTAGCTATGGACGCAGAGATGGCATCTTGGAGGTCCACAAGCACCTACGTCGACGTATTTCCACCTTCTGGGGTGAACGTTCTCGATGACATGTGAATCTTCAACGTGTAGCAGCCACAAGGAGTGTCGCATGGCTTCAAGGTGCACTGTCTGGCAAGAGGCTTCAGTCAGAGAGAGGGGGTTGACTTCTTCCATACCTTCTCCCCCACCCCGAATATTACAATTTTTCGGGTGTTGCGGCACATTGCTGCACAGCGTGACTACGAGCTCCACTCACCGGACTTCTCCACTGACTTTCTGTCAGAATCCCAACCACTAGACCATTGGGATAAAAGGGCTTGTTAAGTAGCGGGTCAGAGTGCGCCCATAACCCCCCAGGCAAACGCGCCTGTAACCCCCCTAGGATCAATCGGGCATCCACAGTGCAGATCTACTGACACCCCCCCACACTGGGAGGCCCAGGACTGAGCACAGCGGCAACGGCCTACATGTGCATACACCGGGATTCGAACCCGAGACCTCTCTGACAACGTGTCAGAATCCCAGTCACTAGACCATTGGGATAGAAGGGCTTGTTAAGTAGCGGGTCAGAGTGCGCCCATAACCCCCCAGGCAAACGCGCCTGTAACCCCCCTAGGATCAATCGGGCATCCACAGTGCAGATCTACTGACACCCCCCCACACTGGGAGGCCCAGGACTGAGCACAGCGGCAACGGCCTACATGTGCATACACCGGGATTCGAACCCGAGACCTCTCTGACAACGTGTCAGAATCCCAGTCACTAGACCATTGGGATAGAAGGGCTTTTTAAGTAGCGGGTCAGAGTGCGCCCATAACCCCCCAGGCAAACGCGCCTGTAACCCCCCTAGGATCAATCGGGCATCCACAGTGCAGATCTACTGACACTTTCTCCAGGGCAGCCTACACGAGCATCACCATAAGCTCTCGGCTTTTGTCTCTGACGAGCCCAGTGGTCCGTACGCAGAGCTGGTGGGGCGCATCATGTACCAGATAACTTGCACGCATCCAGACCTTGCATATCATCTCAGCATCCTTGCTTGAGAGTCATTGTTTCAACTGGGAGACACCGACCCGTGCACTGGTCGGCCGCTATTTGGCTAATACATCCGGCCTGATGCTTGTGCATGGAGGACGACAGCCATGCTGCACTCACCGGGCACCCTGACGCATCGTGGGCAAACGACGTCGAGACTCTCTGATCCTCTCAGATCTACTGCTGCAGTCTTGGCTACGGAGTTGTCTCGTGGAGGCCGACTCGCTCGTCGTCGGTAGCTTCGTCTAGCTTTGAGACAGAGATTTATGCTGGTGCTATGGCTGCGCAGGAGCCTCGCTGGCCGAGGTTCTTGCTGACTGACTTGGGCGAGCCGCCTAGCTCTGCCCCAGCCATGTTCGCTGATAACATGGCCATGATCCTCCTGTTACAGGAACCAAGATTGGAAAGCAAAGCAAAGCACATCCAGCTGCAGTACTTTCTACTGCACGAGTTGCAGCAGCGTTTTCATGCACGCGTAGTACACTTGGCCTCCGAGGCCAACACCATTGATATCTTCACTAATGCAATCTAGCGCACGTGGTCATCAGCGGCTCTGCATGCAGCTTGGCCTTACCACAGCAGGTCCTTAGTAGATTTTTTTTAATGTTGTGCATTGTTTCTGGTCTATATATACTCAATGTATGGCCTTGTGGTTGTGTTTCTCAGAGGTTTGGCTAGTACTAATGCCCTGAGTTGACCTGATACGCCTTGCTATTCTCGTTGATTGTCCTTCTGGTATTTTACTCCAGTGCCTCGACTGGTGGTGCCACCTTTAGTTGTTTCTTGTCTTCTCAGCACTGCCCCTTACTTAGCCTAGTGGGTGTGTCAAACTGCACACTTGTGTTTTTTAGTTGTACTCATAGGTTAGGTTAGGTTCGTACTCAAGATGTATGCTGATCGACCCTCTCTTGTAATATTATAAGAGGTTTATGTTCAGTTCTCGTTTTAACATGTGCAATGCCGTTTCATTAGCCCAGTGCTAGGCACGCCGGCGTGGCTGTTCAACCTCGTGCGTAACACAGGAATCAGTGGCCTGCATAACACGTCCAACCTGTAAGTTTTATTCGCTGTGAATTTGTCTAGAAAGATGAGTACCACCTATGTTTTTCTTACATGTTGCCACTGTATAATACCTCGATTGTGGGCGACTCCGTTTCCAGTTAGGCAAGGGTCACCCGTCAGTTCGACAAGCATCGGTTAGTCAATATAAGTCAACGTCGACGTGCTTGGAGTCCGATCATTTGTACTCGTGATTTTGAACCGTGGATTGTTCATTTCAGCTTACGGCATGAGTATTGACCGTCCGATGAATCTAAGAAAGTTCTAGGAATTGATATATCTCTTGCTGGGAAGAGTTTGATGCACCCTAGCCAATGGGGACACAGCGCGGGATTGCGAAATTGCCTGGGTAGCGTGTGGATCGGGGTGTTGGTTGTGGTGGTGCGTGAAGACTGCGTTGCAGCGGGTCAGAAAGAAAATGGAGTTTTGGGGTCGAGGAATCGAATTCCGCATCCGTGGGACATTTTCTGACAAAAATTCCGTCACATGAAATCAAAACCCTGCATCGGCAAAGATGATTTATTTCACTGTTTCCGTCGAAACGTTTGTTCTTGGCTTCCCGGCTTTACTGCCACTGGATGTGGTGAACATTTTCCCTTTTGTTCACCAACCAGCTTTCGACAGTGACCCCTCTCCGTTTTATTGGTTGGACCAACCTTGGCTGCGCGACAGGATATCTTTGGCGCCACCAAGCCGTCATAAAGGCGGGAGTCAATCAGAAACAATTGAAGTGTTTCGCACAAAAGACTCAGAACGTGTGCTGGTTTCACACCCAACAGGTTACTTAATTGAGTTTGTAAAAGTTTCAATACTGAAACAAAAAGAGAAGGTTATATCCTGACCGGTATGCTTCCTTGGATGCAGTCCGGAAAAAAATTATGCGCATCGCAGATTCGTCTCAGACTTGTTGCACAAATCTCTTGCTTTCCACTTTCCCTTCCCCACAGCCCTTCCGCGTGCGCTCATCAGAAAACCGCTAGCCGAGTCACACACACCCCGTAACTTGTTGCGAAGGATTTGTTGCGAAGAGTTTGACCACACCACCGCACCCCCTCCACCTCGTTGTTGCGAAGAATTTGTTCCCACCGAAGCATTCGATTACAACAGCACCGCACACGCACACCCTCCCTCCTTCCTCTCCCCACCATCACCCCGGACCATTCCCCCCTCACTTCTTCCGCCCCACTCTCCCTCTCCCATACCCCCCGCCCCAACCCTTCCCCCCACTCTCTCTCCCTTTCCCCTCTCCTCCGCACTACTCGTTCCCCCAACCAAATGCTGCACACTGTGCTCCCACAGTTACCCCCTGACTTGCCTCCCGGTTCCATTCCGATGTTTGTCCTCCTCCCCCTCGCATCTCTTGCTCAAGCGGCAGTTTCATATTAGCCTAGAGTTGACGTTTGGTCGATCCTCGTTCTCCGTCTCCATTCTCCCATCGCACTCTAGGATCTAGTCTCTTATCTCGCCTCCTCTGACCTTTAGCTCCTCTCTAGCTCCTCTCTTCTCTCAAGCTAATTCCTGCATTCGAACTTGGAGCGCTACACTACGCAACGATAATCATCGTCGAACACCTGGATAACCAGTGTTTTTGTGATTTTGTGTTTCTGTGCGTTTCATCGATATCACCTGGACGTTTTTCTTCTGTTGAACAACGCAATCGCCGACTCTTCCTCGAATCTTCCTCGAAGCCTTTGTTGATTCATCCGCATTACCTCGTCGACTTTGCGGAAATAGCGTCGTTTTATAGAGCAATACGAAGCGCAACGGGAAGAAAAAGACCTTCGCGTCGCGTCGCTTAGCGCGGGAAGCTTCATTCCGTGTCTACCGTCGCAAACTCAGTCAAGATCGCTGAAACCTCGTTGTAGAGTGGCATCTCTTTACCGACTGAATTCTTCTTTCCTTGTGTGTCGTGGAACACTCTAACGCGGACACGTCGATCCAAGATGTTTCTCTGCGGCGGCTCAACCTTTCGCCGCGAGCACAACGCAGAGCAGCAGCAGCAGCAGCAGCAGCAACAGGAGGAGGATAATCATCAGCAGCATCAGCTTGGTGGTCCGAAGATTCGTACGACTCGTCAGTCGCACCCCAACGCTTCTCCACCTAACCCTCTCGCCCGGCCGCATCAGCCGGCGCAGCAGCAGCATTATCACTCGGCGTCCCGCCCCTCAGGCGCCATGTCACGCGCGTACGTGCACCAGAATAACAACCACGGGTCGGCGCAGGTCGGGGGGGCAAACCACGGGCCAGGCCAGACCCAGAACGGTCAGCCGCCCGCGTCCGCCGCCCCCTCCGGCATCAACGGCTACGCGCGCCACCTCTCCAGCCGCCTCATGCTCAAGAAGCGCGCTAAGGAGCCCGCCGGCGGCTTCCGCCAGGGCGCAACCGTTGGGTGCGCGGGCAGCGCGCGCGTGTTCGCCGCAGGGGCTGCGCCTGAGCGGAAGTTATCCGCGGAAGATTCCCGCGCTGCAGAAGAGGCGGAGCAGCAAAGCGCGGGAGGGGGACAGCCGGCGCAAGGCTTCATGCCCGGAGGCGCGACCCGCGCCGCCCCCGGCGGAGGGGATAATAAGCTTCCCCGTAAGCCTGTGCTGGCGTCTGCTGCGGCGGCTGCTGCCGCTGTAGCCGCGGCGAAGATGGCGGCATCCGCGGCTGCTGCCGCCGCGGCCACTACCACCGGCGCAGACAAGGTCCATCTCAACCCCGCGGGGGGGGCGCACGGGGACGAGCCGCCGCCGGCGGCCGCAGAGCAGGGAATGGAAGCGCAGACGCTTCCGCCGCTTCCGCCTGGGTTCCGCTTCAAGCCTACGGACGAGGAGCTCGTGGCGCATTATCTCGTGCCGCGCGCGCGCCTCGCCGACGATTCCCTTGGGGTGATGCCGTCTAACCCGCCGGTCCACGCGGGACGGCGGGCAGCCGCCGCCGCTGGGGCGAGGCGCGACGCGGGAATGCGTGCGGATGGGGGGAGGCGGGAGCTTCAGGGGGAGGCGAAGGCGGAACAGCAGCAGCAGCAGGATTGGATGACGATGATAGCGGATCTGGATGCTTTGGATATGGAACCGTGGGAGCTTCCAAGTGAGTTTTGCTGTAACGAGGATGGATCTTTCCTTGCTGCTGCTGCCCGTTCCGTGTATCCCGGTGCATGGCCGCGCACGTACACGTGTGCTCCTTTCCTCGCTTCTTGAGTTGACTCGAATTGATATCTTCCGGCTCGTTGCGCACTTCCCTGTTGCCGGCGCACTTCCTCGTTGCCGGCGCACTTCCCCGTTGCCTTCACGACATCGGCAACGGCGAGTTGTGCTACTTCTGCGCACTCCACACAAAGCCACAAGTACCGCCACTCCATACTCATTCGCTCCCTTTTTCTGCCACGCTCAACCGTTCCGCCCTTCCCTTCCTCCCCCGTTCCCCCCCCTCCCCCCCCCCCCCCCCCCCCCTTCTCCTGGCAGTGTCGTGCTGCATCGGCGACGGCGAGTGGTAATTTCTTCTCCACGCGGAGCCTCAAGTACGGCCACTCGATACTCATCCGCTCCCCTTCTTGTCCCCCCCTCCGCCGTTCCGCCCTCCCTTCCCCGTCCTCCCCCGCGCCCGTTCTCCGCGCCCCTTCCCCTCCCCCCCCCTCCCCCCCCCCCCCCCCCTCAGTGACATGCTGCATCGGCGACGGCGAGTGGTATTTCTTCTCGACGCGGAGCCACAAGTACGGGCACTCGCGCCGCACCAACCGCTGCACCTCCAACGGCTACTGGAAGGCCACGGGCAACGACCGCACCATCCACTGCGACCCCGTCTTCGGCGCCGCCATTGCCGCGGGGATGGGCGGGGGGATGGGTGGCGGTGTGGGGAGGCAGTTGTCCCGGGCGCTGCTGGGGAGGCGGGGGAGCGGAGGGTTGTTTGGATCGTGTTTGGATGAGCCTGCGGTGGTGGAAGGGGAGGGGGAGGGAGAGGGGGAGGAATGGGATGGGATGATGCCAGGCATGGAAGGGGGTTCGGCTGTGGACAATGGCCGTTATGTCGCTCCCCACCAGCGTAACATGTTCGCTGGTAACCAGTCGCGGATGCTGAACCATCATCATCATCATCAGCAGCAACAGCAGCAGCAGCAGCAGCAGCAGCAGCAGCAGCAGCAGCAGCAGCAGCAGCAGTCAGTTTATATGGGGGAGGGTTACGGCTCCCTTCACATGCTGCCGCCCCATGCACACGCACTTGCACACATGCACGGGCATGGGTATGGATTTCCGCGCGGGCACGGGCACGGGCATGGGCAGATGGATGGGGTGGTGGTGGGGATGAAGAAGACGTTGGTGTACTACGAAGGGCGCGCACCGAGAGGGAGGAGGACGGAATGGGTGATGCACGAGTATCGCTTGGAGCAGCGCAGCAGCAGCGGCCGACGACCCGTGGTGCGTGCATCTCCTTCCCTGTCGCGTCTGCTGTCTCTCCCTGCATGCTGCGCTCGCTCTTGCAATGCCATGTCTACAACGTTTCAGTCGACTGAAATATATTGATTTCCCTCCTGTTGCGCCTGCCTTCTCTCCCCTCTCCCCACATGCAGGGCTCGCTCGTGCTGTGCCGTGTATACAACAAGGGGTCCCACCCACCCGCCGCGCAGCTGCCCCCTCGAGCCATGTCCGCTCCTCTCCCTGCTGCTGCCGCTGCCGCTGCTGCTGCTGGCATGGTTCCTGATATGGGCATGGGCGTGGGTATGGGTATGGGTATGGGGATGGGTATGGGTATGGGAATGGGTATGGGGATGGGGATGGGGATGGGGATGGGGATGGGTGGCATGGGGATGGGCATGGGAATGGGACTGGAACTGGATGCGAGCATGTGTGAAGGGAGTATGGGTATGGAGGGAGAATTAGAGGGAGAAATGGAGGGAGGGATGGAGGGTGAGATGGAGGGAGGTTTGGGTGATGGTTATGATGCCTATGGCGATGGTGCCGATAATGCTGATGATGATGCCAACGATGGTGCTGACGATGAAGGCATGGATATGCCAGGGATGGATGTGCTACCATCCCCCTCTTCCCCTGCATATCACTCCACGCCAGTCCCCCCTGCTTCGGCTCCTTCCCCTGCTCCTGCTGCTGCTGCTGCAGCTGCTGCTTCTGCTGCTCCTCCATCTCCTGCTCCTGCTGCACCTGGTGACCTCTCTGCCACAGGTCCCAAGAGCAACAGCAGCAGCGGTCGCTGCAGCAACTCGTTTGGGAACAGCAAGGAGATGTTAGGCGGCGCAGCAGCAGCAACGGTGGTGGCTGGTGAGAGCGCCAGTGGGTTGAGTGGCTTCAGTGGTGTGGGGCGCCATTTCACCCCTCCTCCTGCTCCTGCTCCTGCTCCTGCTCCTGCTCCTGCTCCTGCTCCTGCTCCTGCTCCTGCGCCTGCCCCTGCACTTGTTCCTGCTCATGCGACTGCAGCTGCTGCTGCTGCTGGTGCTGATGCTCCAGCTGCTGGCGCAGCTGCTCCTGCTGGTGCCACTACCACCGCTCCTGGCGTTGATGCTACAGCAATACCACATGCCTCGGGCATCCCCACATGGCTGGATGATGAGGAGGAGGATGAGCCAGAGATCTGGCTATCCCCTTGTGCGGGCAACACTCCTCTCTCCAACAACACACCCCTGTCCGGAACTAGCCCTCTTTCCAGCTGCACGCCTCTTTCCGGGACCTCTCCACTCTCTGCCGCCGCTGCAGCAGCGGCAGCAGCAGCGGGTGGAGCAGCAGGAGAGCTGGGTGGTATTGATATCGACGACTTTGACCTTGGGATTGATTTCGGGGATTTTCCGGATTTTCTGATCGCGCAGGATGATGTGCAGTGCCATGCAGAAGAGGAGAATCCCGCTGCTGATGACGCTGATGCTGCTGCTGATGCTGCTGCTGATGCTGCTGCTGATGCTGATGCTGATGCTGATGCTGATGCTGCTGCTGCTGCTGCTCCTTCTGCTGCTGTTTCCGATGCTGCTGTAAATGGTCTTACCCCGGGGCATGACCGTTCTCTCGCTCCATCTACTGCTGCATCTGCTGCTGTCTCTGCCGCTGCTTCTGCCACAGCCCGTGGTTCTTCTGCCTCTGCTTCTCTTGGTCACCGGGATGTGTCTGTAAGTGGTGGCACGGACTTGGATCCTCTGCATCACCCGCCTGACTGGCTGCTGCCCCAATCCATGCAGCCAGGCGGGTATGCTGAGGATTCAACCCCCATGCCACCACCCAGCTCACAGCTGCCTTCAGCTGTTTTTTCTCCCGGTGACACCAGAGAGAAGACTGGAGACCCATCCGCTGCATCGCTATCGGAAGCAGCACCAGCAACCTTATCAGCAGCACCTGTACCAGCAGCAGCAGCAGCAGCAGCAGGAGGAGGAGGAGGAGGAGGAGAAGCAGGAGAATCTGCGGCAGGCGAGCAGGGACAGCACTCTTCCAATGACACGCATGCGCTCTCGCTCTTTGAGGCGCAACTGAAAGCCGTTGATGCCTATGTGGAGAACTTCAGTGCGCATGGGCAGGAGCAGGGCTTTCAGGCGCACGAGCAGAGCTTTAGTGCGCATGGGCAGAGCTTTCAGGCGCATGAGCAGGCGTTGGAGCTGGATTATGACATCTCTACCATGCTTGCAGAGCCACATGTTGACATGCCCATGGGCATGGGCATGGGCATGGGTATGGGTATGGGAGGGGAGATGGAGGGAGGGATGCATGGCGGTATGTGGGATGGAGGTCTGGATATGAGTCCCTTTGGTTGGTCCAATGTTCCTGCACACGCCTTCGCCGCATCTGCCTCTCCCTTCAAGCGCAGCCGCAGCATGATGGAACGAGATGGAGGAGGAGAGAGAGGAGGAGGAGCCAGAGGAGTAGGAGGATTCGGAGGAGGAGGAGGAGGAGGAGGAGTGAGACAGGAGGGTGGGGAGGAGGGAAGTGTGGCAGTGCCGGTGCAAGGGAATGATCCTGGGGGGAAGATGATGAGGGTGGGGACGGTGGAGGAGCGGCAAGGCGTGCGGCGAAGTGGGGGAGGAGGTAGTAGTGGTGGTAACAATGCTGGGGGCCGCTGGGTTGATGGTGGTGGTGGTGCTGCTGCTGCTTCTGGTGGTGGTGGTGGTGGTGGTGGTAACCATCGGCAGCTGAGGCCATCGGGTACGCGTAACAGCAGCAGCACCGTCAAAATCAACACAAATACCACTCGGCAGCGGCAGCTCAAGGCCAGCAGTAGTAACATCAGCAGCAGCAGCCGCAGCAGCGGGGGTGGCGGTGTGGGAGGTGCTGCTGCTGGTGCTTCTGGTGCTGCTGTTGGTGGGGCTTGTGGTGGTGGTGGTGGTGGAAGTACCAGCAGTGGTGGTATTGCTCGCCACTCCACAAGAACCCCTCTCGCTACCATTCGAAACAGCGCTGCTTCTGCTGCTCGTGCTGCTTACGGTGCTCCTCCTTCTACTGCTGCTGCTGCTCCCCCGGCTTGCATTCAAGCTCCTGCACCAGCACCAGCACCCACAGCTGCTGCTTATGGTTCCAAGCGCAGCAGCAGCAGCTCTGGGCGACACGGCTCTCTGTCAGGCAACAGCATCAGCAGGCTGCGACCGCCAGCAGCAGTAGCCTCTGCTCCTCCTCCTGTCCAATCATCCACATCTTGGAGACCCGCAATGTCTGCAAGATCAGCAGCTGCAGGAACAGCAGCAGGAGGAGCGGCAGGAGTAAGAGCAGGAGCAGAGGAAGCATCTCGCAGCAACATCTGCATGACACTGCGGCAGATCATTCTGCAGAGAGGGAGGCCTCTGCCTGCTCCTGGTGGCACCGCAAGCACCAGCAGCACTAGGAGCGACGATGGGCAGCATTAACTGCACCAACTACGGCCAGTGGGTGTCCCTTCCCTTGTATCATACATCAGTTTGTCATAAGTGGCACGCGGCACACAGTCAGCCGGTCCTCCCCGTGGCATCCAGGAAGGTTGAGCTCTGTGTTGGCCACTCTTTCCGTTATACGATAATAAGAGTGCTACAGCTACTCCTATGATACCTACTACTATGAATAATGACCACAATGTTGAAGATAATAATGGTAAGTTTGCATGCATTTCATGGTAAGTCTGCCAGCATCGGCACCAGGGCATTGGAGAGGAAGGGGCATTGGTTCGGATGGGAATACGGTAGGGAGAGTTAGGGAACGTGCTTGATCTCCGATCACCTATGGCTGCTGTGGCAGTAGCGTGTGCTAGATGTGTAGTAGCTAGTTTTCTTGTTGCTTTGCTTGTACTGTATTTATATTGATTCTTTTACTGGTATTGATTTATACATATTACTGTACATTGCTTAGTAGTAGGCATTGTCAAATTACAATTGTATCTCTAGGCTATAGTAGGGTCACTCCTTAGTGAGTACAACACTTTAGGGTTAGGTTTCCCCTACTTGTACTCACCTCTTGCCTAGTTCACTCATTCATTCCTGCTTATTCTAACATGGTATTAGAGCAGAATTGTTCCTAGGGCCCACCGAACGTTCCGCCCTGCCCTAACCGTAATTTTTTTCTTCCTACGCTGCCCCTGCAGCCGCGCTGCCCTTGCAGCCCACGTGCTGCCCCTGCGACCGCGCTGCCCCTGCAGCCGTACTCGCCCCTGCGACCGTGCTGCCCCTGCAGCCGTGCCTGCCCCTGCGACCGTGCTGCCCCTGCAGCCGTGCCTGCCCCTGCGACCGTGCTGCCCCTGCAGCCGTGCCTGCCCCTGCGACCGTGCTGCCCCTGCAGCCGTGCCTGCCCATGTGGCCCGCGTGCTGCCCCTGCAGCCCGCGCGTTCGCCCCTGCAGCCCGCGCGTTCGCCCCTGCAGCCCGTGGGCGCTGCCCCTGCAGCCCGCGCGCCGCCCTGCCGAGCCGCGCGTTGCCCCTGCAGCCCGTGGGCGCTGCCCCTGCAGCCCGTACGCCGCCCTGCAGAGCCGCGCGTCGCCCCTGCAGCCCGTACGCCGCCCTGTGGAGCCGCGCGTCGCCCCTGCAGCCCGTGGGCGCTGCCCCTGCAGCCCGTGCGCCGCCCTGCTGAGCCGCGCGTTGCCCCTGCAGCCCGTGGGCGCTGCCCCTGCAGCCCGTACGCCGCCCTGCAGAGCCGCGCGTCGCCCCTGCAGCCCGTACGCCGCCCTGTGGAGCCGCACGTCGCCCCTGCAGCCCGTGGGCGCTGCCCCTGCAGCCCGCGCGCCGCCCTGCCGAGCCGAGCATCGCCCCTGCAGCCTGGGCGCCGCCCTGCCGAGCCGCGCGCCGCCCCTACAGCCCGCGCGCCGCCCTGCCGAGCTGCGCGTCGCCCATGCAGCCCGTGGGCGCTGCCCCTGCAGCCCGCGCGCCGCCCTGCCGAGCCGCGCGTCGCCCCTGCAGCCAGTGGGCCGCGCGCAACCCTAAGCCCTAAAAAAAAAAAAAAAAAACTACTACTACTGCTGCTGCTGCTACTACTACTGCTGCTGCTACTCGTGCTACTGCTGCTGCTGGTGGAGGTGCTACTAGGAGTGCTGGAGGTGCTGCTGGTGCTGGAGGAGCTGGAAGTGCTGGACCTACTCCTGACCGTCGCTGTCTGTCATGGCCACTATCGCGGCAGATGCTGCGGCCAGGGGTGGACAGCAGCGGGCACTGCCTCTCCCGGACGACCCCACCCCTCAGCAGCTTCGTGAGTGGGTTTTTCAGCGAGGCCGTCCTGGTGGTGGAGGTTATCGTTTTGTTAAGACTGCTGCTCTTGGTGCTAGTGAGTCTGCTGCCACTCCAGGTGCTAGTGAGTATGCTGCCGCTACAGGTGCTAGTGAGTCTGCTGCAGCTCTAGGTGCCCGTGAGTCTGCCGACGCTCTAGGTGCTAGTGCGTCTACTACCACAGGTCCTGCCTCAGCTGAAGTCTTGCACACTTTCATGCTTGACTCAGGCGCGTCACGTTGCTTCTTTCGTGATTGCACCACAGTCACACCACTCACAGCACCTGTCCCAGTCTCACTGGCTGACCCCTCTTGGGGCCCAGTAGTTGCGAGAGCCTCCACGGTCCTCCCTTGTCCAGCAGCCCCCTCCGGCTCTCTGTCAGGTCTCCACCTCCCCACGTTCTCGACGAACTTGGTGAGCAACGCTGCCATTCAGGATGTCTGGGTTGATACCTTTATTCCTGGAGGGCAGCGTGTGGCGATCTGTACGTGCTCCCGGACTGGCCGTCACCTGGCTACGTTCACTCGACAGCCTGGGTCTAGTCTGTACACACTGACCACTGCGTTTGCACAGGTGGCTGAGTCAGGTCAGGTGGCTGCGTCGAGTCGGGCGTCTGCGTCGGGGCAGTTAGCTTCGTCTTGCTCGTGCAGAGTACTCACGCACGAGACTCAGCGCTGGCACCACCGTCTTGGTCACCCCTCCCTGCAGCGTCTACGCAGTATGCATTCCCGTCTCCTTGTCTCTGGCCTCCCCAGGACCCTGCCCCCCCTGCCGTGCTCGCTTGCCCCGCCGTGCCTTCCTTGCGTCGAGGGGCGGCAGCGCGCCGCTCCTCACTCCTCCGAGTTTCCTCCGACCACTGCTCCTCTGCAGACTCTCCACCTGGACGTGTGGGGCCCGGTCCCCGTCGGTGGGACGGACCTGGAGCGCTACTTCCTGCTGGTTGTTGACGACTACACACGCTACACCACAGTCTTCCCCTTGCGACGCAAGGCGGACGTCAGCGGTGTTTTGATCCCCTGGATCCGTGCTACTCGTCTCCAGCTGCACGAGCGCTTTCAGCAGGACTTCCCAGTCCTGCGTCTGCACTCTGACAGGGGTGGTGAGTTCTCCTCTGGCGTCCTTGAGACGTTCTGCCAGGATGAGGGCATCGCCCAGTCGTTCACGCTTCCGGCCTCTCCGCAGCAAAATGGGATCGCTGAGCGTCGCATTGGCCTGATCATGGAGGTTGCTCGTACCTCCATGATCCATGCGGCTGCTCCCCATTTCCTGTGGCCGTTTGCGGTCCGATACGCCGCGCATCAGCTCAACCTCTGGCCCCGTGTCTCTGCTCCAGAGACCTCGCCCACACTCCGTTGGACGGGACAGCCTGGTGATGCGTCGTCGTTTCGGGTCTGGGGCGCGCTCTCCCTTGTTCGCGATACCAAAGCGAGCAAGCTCTCTCCTCGCACTCTCCGCTGTGTTTTCCTGGGCTTCCCCACCGACACTCCACCCTGGCAGTTCTACCACCCTGCCTCGCGTCGTGTTCTGTCCTCTCAGGACGTCACCTTCGACGAGTCGGTCTGTTACTACCGACTTCACCCGCACGCGTCCCACCCGGTCCCTCTCGCACCTCTCTTCCTGGTACCAGTCCCCCCCCTGGTAGACCCCCTTCCCCCACAGGGTCCTGCTCCCTCAGGTGTGTCCCAGGTAGACCCACCCCCCTTGGATGAGCCAGTTGAGATCTCTTCTGACTCCTCTGACTCAGCTGAGGGGGGTGACGCCGTCGCCGACGATACGGCGACCACTCGCCGCACTCCTCGCTTGGAGACCCCCCCCGGGTTTCCCGCCACGGCCGTCTTCGCCGCCTCCGCAGCCTGCTGCTGTGGACTATGGAGCTGAGACTACTGGAGCTGGGCCTGGGAGTGGTACGTCTGGGGGTGACTGCTCTCCTTGTTTGGCTAACCCCCCCGGTTTCCCGCCTCTGCAGCCTTCTGCAGTGGACACTGGAGCTGAGACTGAGGGTCCTGAGCCTGCGGGTGCTGGGACTGAGGGTACTGAGCCTGCGGGTGCTGGGTCTGAGGGTACTGAGCCTGCGGGTGCTGGGACTGAGAGTACTGAGCCTGCGGGTGCTGGGACTGAGGGCACTGAGCCTGCAGGTGCTGGGACTGAGGGTACTGAGCCTGAGGGTACTGAGCCTGGGGGTACTGAGACTTCGGGTGCTGACTCTGGGGGTGCTGCGAGTCCTTCTGGAGGTCTTGGAGCTGGAGGTACTGGAGCTACTAGGCCTGGAGGTACTACTGGAGGTACTGGAGCTGCTGCTGGTGCTGGAGGTGCTGGAGCTGGAAGTACTAGAGGTGCTTCTGGTGCTGGAGGTGCTAGAGCTACCACTACTGGAGGTACTGGAGCTGGACAGCCACCGCAGCCTGCTCTAATTGAGACGCTCTCGCCGCAGGTGATTCGTGCGTGGGTCATTCGACGAGGCAGTCCTGGTGGTGGAGGGTACGGTCCGGCTGGTGCTGGAGCTACTAGTCCAGCAGGTGCTGCTGGTGCTGGAGGTGCTGGAGGTACTACTGGAGGTACTAGAGGTACTGCTGGTACTAGAGGTGCTGCTGGTGCTGGGGGTACTGGAGCTGCTGCTGGTGCTGGAGGTCCTGGAGCTGGAGGTACTGGAGCTGCTGGTGCTGGAGGTACTCCTGTTACTGGAGGTGCTGGGGGTGCGGGAGCTGCTGACCCTGGAGGTGCTGGTGCTGGAGGTACTGGAGGTGCTGGAGCTATTGGCCTCGGAGGTGCTCGTACTGGAGGTGCTGGAGCTGCCGGAGCAGGTGGTGCTGCTGGTGCTGGAGGTGCTAGAGTTGCTACTAGAGCTGCTGGCACAGGAGGTACTGGAGGTACTACTGGTGCTGGAGGCGCTGGAGCTGGAGCTGGAGGCACTGGAGGTGCTGGAGGTACTACTGGTGCTCGAGGTGCTGGCGCTGTCGGAGCTCGTGGTGCTGGAGGTGCTGGTGCTACTGGTGCTGGAGGTGTTGCTGGGGGTACTGGAGGAGCTGCTCGAGCTGGAGGTACGGGGGCTACTGGTGCTCTTCGCCACCTTCTCAGTCTTCCGCCAGGTGCTACTGACTTCCCTGTGGTAGGTACTACGCCTCCGGTACTGTTTCCACCGGCGGACCAGTCACAGCCGCAGCTGCTACTGCACTCCCCACTGCCTGCTCCTGCTCCTTACACTGCGGTGACACAGTCCCTTGTTAAAGATGAGAGTGTGGTAGCCATGGCTAGGAAGAGAGAAGGTAGCGAGAGAATTGTATTAGAAAAAAGGTGTCAAGATTACAAGTCTAGAAAGGAATTGGAAACCCTAATTGAACTTAGGGTGTGTTCAGTTTGTACTATAGCTACGAAATGAACCTAAATTGAACTTGGAAGCGTAACTCGCTCTAAGCATGGTGGAACGATAAGAGAACACCAAAATAAAGGCCAGAGCGAGCTGTAGCCTACTCCAACACACCCCCAGGCTAGGCGAAGCTCTGGAACAAAACACCTAGCGAACGGGAACACCCCCAGAAGTGGCAAGACGCGTGAGCCCAAGCTCGCGCAGGTAGAAACGGTGTGGCGCACGCAGAAGGGCCTTGGTGAAAATGTCAGCAAGGTTGGCAGTAGCGGCCACCTTGCGAAGGCGTAAGAAGCCAGACTGCACCAGCTCGCGCACGAAGAAGTAGCGGACCTCTATGTGTTTGCTGCGGGCGTGATAGACAGGATTTTCAGTGAGATGAATCATGCTCGCACTGTCACAGGAGAGCGTCACAAAGGGCTGAGAGTGACCGAGCTCAACAAGGAGAAAGGAGAGCCAGCGAGCCTCTTGAGCTGCCAACGTGCATGCGTACAACTCAGCTTCACAGGTAGAAAGGCAGACAGAGGATGAGCGAGTGGAGCGACAGCTGATAAGACCACTGCCAAGAGTAAAACCATAACCCTGAGAGGAGCGACAATCAGGGCAAGAATCAGCGTAGGAGGAATCACTGTAACCGGAAAGAACAGGGGGAGAAGAGCCACCAAGAGTGAGAGCGAGATCAGAGGTAGCACGGAGATAGCGAAGAACGCTCTTGGCAGCCGCCCAGTGCACGTCAGTGTGGCGACCAAGGCCAACAAAGCGAGAGAGGACACTGAGGGGGTAAGCAAGATCGGGGCAAGTGCACATCATAGCATACATGAGAGACCCAACGAGCTCAGGATAGGGTCGCAGTTCTGAGGAGGGAGCGGGAACGGCATGGGCAGTAAGCTGATGGTTAGCGGGAAGAGGAGTGGAAACTGGCTTAGCCTGTGACATTTCAAAGCGCTCAAGGAGAGAATGGATATAGAAAGATTGAGAGAGAGAGATGGTGCGCGCAGTACGATTGCGACGAATCTCCATGCCGAGGTAGTGGCGAAGCTCGCCAAGATCCTTGCACAGGAGACGGGCCTGGAGGGCTTGCTTGACAGCGGCAAGGTCGGCAGAATCTTCAGCGAGGAGCACCAAGTCATCGACGTAGGCAAGAATGTAAACCCTGTGGGAGGAGGTGCGAATGAAGAGACTGGGATCGGAAGAGGAGGTGGAGAAGCCAAGAGAGTGAAGAGTGGAGGCAAGCTTAGCATGCCACTCGCGTGGGGCCTGCTTGAGACCATACACTGGGCGCTTCAGCTCCCAGACAGTGCCTGAAGGGAAGGGGCGAGGAAAGCCAGCGGGGCGCTCAAGGAAAATTCGTTCATGAAGCTCGCCTTGGAGAAAGGCATTGGAGACATCCATAGAGTGAATCTCCCAATTCCAGCGGGCGCCTAGATCAAGGAGGAGGCGAAGAGTGGGGAGACGGGCAGTGGGGGAGTAAGTGGCAAAGTAGTCAATGCCTTCACGTTGGGTGAAGCCTTTGGCGCAGTAAAGGGCTTTGAAGACAGGGAGCTCCCCAGGCAGCTGTTTGACACAAAAGACCCATTTTCCCTTCACAATGGTGGCGCCAGGGGGGGGGACAGATTCAACGTAAGAGTGAGTCCGAGTGAATGCCTCACACTCGGCAATGATGGCAGCCATCCACTCAGTTGCTTGAAAGCCAGACACTCCCTCGGAATAGGTCTGAGGGGTGGGAATAGCGGCAGTGTCAACGGAGAGAAGAGTGGGAGAATTGGAGAAGTCGCCAATGGTGACACATAGGAGGGGTGAAACAGGATGAACAGAGAAAAGCTCCTCAAAGCGATCTTCGAGAAGATCAATGATCTGAGAGGGAGAGAGACGAGTAAAGAGAGCAGAGTGTTGAAAAGTGGACATTGCACGGGTCATGGAACGGGTGAGACGTGGAGAGGGTGGGGGGGCAGGTGCAGAAGGGAGGGTAGCAGAAGGAGGTGATGAGGGAGGGGCCATGGGAGCAGAAGATGAAGAGGCAGGAGGAGAGATGCCAGAGATGACAGCGGAGGGGGGGGGTGGAGGATGCAGGCAGGGGAGGTGGAGCAGGGGCAGGAGGAAGGGGAGGAGGAGAGGGAGCAGCAGAGGGCAGCGGATCAAAGTCAGACCAATGGAGAGAGGGAGCAGGTGGGGTGGGAGGGGGAGTGAGGAATGGAGATCGAGACTCATCAAAGATGACATCCTGGCTGCGAATCAGCTGCTGAGAGGAGGGAGCATAGAAAAGGTAGCCAGGATAGTCAGAGTTGATGCCAATAAACGCACACAGCTGCGTCTTGGGAGCGAGCTTCCCACCCTGACGCGCCCGATCAGCGGGAGTGATGAGGACATGAGCGACACAACCCCACACCCGAAGAGGGAGGGCAGAAGGCTGGCGGCCAGTCCAGAGCTGAAAGGTTGTAATGGAAGAGCGAAGGGGATGAGGGCGAAGGTTAGAAAGAAGAGTGGCGTGAACAAGAGCATAGCTCCAAAGAGAGTGGGGAGCAGAAGCATGCGTAAGGAGACAGCGGGTGATCTCCGTGAGAGTGCGAATACGACGCTCGGCAACACCATTCTGTTCAGGAGAATGTGGAAGGGTGGAGGTTTGGCGAATGCCATGAGAGGAGCAGTAAGAAGAAAGAGAGTGGTTAAAGAACTCGCCACCACCATCAGAGTGGAGGCGTGCGACAGGCCGGCCAAAGCGAAGACGCGCCTGCTCAGCCCAGCGAATGATGAGGGAGGGGGCGTCAGATTTGGCACGGAGGGGAGAGACAGTGGCAAAGCGAGAATGGTCATCGACGAGAAGAAGAAAATAGCGATGACCCTGACGGGAGGCAATGGGAGAGGGACCCCAGAGGTCCATATGCACTAGATCAAGGGGTTTGGGGGAGGCAAAAGGGGAAGAAGGATGAGGAGATTGGAAGAGCTTGGCTTGAACACAAGGGGTGCATGGAGGAGCGGGAGAGGGGGGAAGGGGCGGGAGAGAGGAAGGGAGATCATGAAGAAGCTTCGAGTTGACCATACTGCGAAGGAGATGGAAGTTGGGGTGGCCAAGGCGATGATGGAGAAGAAGGGTAGGTTGGGTGAGAGAGCGACAGTCGCAAGAGGAGACGGGAAGGGCAGAAGAAGAGGAAGTGTGATTGATAGATGAGAGGATGGGGACACGAAGGGTGTAGAGGCGAGTAGTAGGAGAAAGGGTGAAACGAGCGAGGTGCCGGTCGTCGTAATGAAGATCACAATAGAGTGCACCTGCAGGGAAGAACGCTCGCACACCCAGACGTTGGAGGGCAGGAAGGGATAGGAGGTTATGACGGCAAGAGGGAACATAAAGTCCCGTAACAGCGCCAGAGGGAGAGGCAGGACAGGGAAGAGAGGAAGTGGCAGTGCAGATCATGGTCATGGTCTCCCCAGCCCCATTGATAGAGAGGGGACGAGGAAAATTGCGAAGGACACCGGCATCACGAAAGACAGAGTCAGTAGCAGCACTATCAAGGACAAAATCCAAGGAGCGAGGAAGTGAGAGAGCGGCAACCGTAGGGCTGGGAGAGTGAGAGACAGTGCTTGGAACGGGTGGAGAAAGTGGAACGACAAAACGAGGGTCCATAAGAGGAGAAGCACCAAGGATGCTATCCAGGGATGGGATGGTCACACTGAAGGCAGAGGCCAGAGAACCAATACCAGAGGTGACAGCAGCACAAGAGTGGCGACGGTGATGCGATAGCGGAACCCAAGCAGAGGGGCGAAGAACAGGGGAGGTCCATTGGCAAGTAGGAGAGGTGCAAGGGGAGGAAGGGGCAGCGAAGGGAGCGGAGATTGGGAAAGGAAAGGGTGGGAGAGGAGGTACGGCAGGAGACGGGTGAGGGCGGAAGTGCAGAGGAGGAGAGGTAAGAGCGAGAATAGGCCCCATCGAGGGAAGGGGGTAGCAATGGAGCAGATGTGGGGAGATAAAAGAGGAGGAGGAATAGGGATGAGGTAGTCAGCTGCTGAGCCGTTGAGGGGAGAAATTAGAGGAGGAGGGATAATGGCGGAGAAGTCTGCAGCTGCGCCGCTGGGGGGAGAAATAAGAGGAGGAGGGATAATGGCGGAGTAGTCTGCTGCTGCGCCGCTGGGGGGAGAAATAAGAGGAGGGATAATGGCGGAGTAGTCTGCTGCTCGCCGCTGTGGGGAGAAATAAGAGGAGGGATAACAGCGGAGTAGTCTGCTGCTGCGCCGCTGAGGGGAGACATAAGAGGAGGAGGGAAAACGGTGGGGTAGTCTACTGCTGCGCTGCTGAGGGGAGTAATACGAGGAGGAGGGATAGCGGTGAAGTAGTCTGCTGCTGCGCCGCTGATGGGAGAAATACGAGGAGGAGGGATAGCGGCGAAGTAGTCCGCTGCTGCGCCGCTGAGGGGAGAAATACGAGGAGGAGGAAAGGTGTGGAAGACGACAAAACACGGACAGCTACCAGCTGCAGCAGATAGGAAGAGAAGAGAGGCGGAGGAAGAGGTGAGAGGGTGGGGGAAATAGAGGGAGAGAGAAGAGGAGGAGGAGGGTGAAGGAGCGGAGTGTGTGGAGGAAGGAGGGGCACGATCACCAAGTGGCAATCGGTAACACGCAGCCAGGTGGCAGATGCGGAGGGGAAGGAGGTGGAGGAAGGGAGGAGAGGCACGGAAGGGAGGAAGGAATGAGGAGAGGAGGAGGAGGGTGAAGAGGCGGATGGGGTGAAGGGAGAAGGAGGAGGTGGTGCAGAAACGGCAGAAGAAGGTGCACCACGGGGAGGGGGAAGGCGCCTGCAGGGAGGTGAGGCAGGCCGCCCATGAGAGGGTAAGGAGGGGTGGCAGGGAGGAGGGAAGGGTGGCCGGGAGGAGGGAAGGGTGGCTGGGAGGAGGGAAGGGTGGCCGGAGATATGGAGGGCGGTGGGCAAGACGCGTGCGCGCATCGACGGCGGGGAGGCCGCACACGTCGCCGTCGACGCGCGCACGTCGACGACGGGCAGGGCGCGCGACGCGGCGGTGGTTAGGGCGCGTCACGAGGTGGGGGAGGGGGAGGGCGGCGCGACGACGGGACAGGGCGCGCCACTAGGCAGGGAGGCATTGGGTGATGGATAGAAGGTTCCGTGATTGAACAAAAAAAAAAAAAAAAAAAAAAATTTAAGGGTCGAAATAGTAAGGAAAAATAAAATTTCGATTAGGTAAAAGGTGGCGCGCCGGATGCCTAAGGCCTAAACCGTACCAAGAGATATAGATTGGGACAAAACGCCAAGGATTTGGCTCTAGATACCATGTTAAAGCTGAGAGTGTGGTAGCCATGGCTAGGAAGAGAGAAGGTAGCGAGAGAATTGTATTAGAAAAATTGTGTCGAGATTACAAGTCTAGAAAGGAATTGGAAACCCTAATTAAACTTAGGGTGTGTTCAGTTTGTACTATAGCTACGAAATGAACCTAAATTGAACTTGGAAGCGTAACTCGCTCTAAGCATGGTGGAACGATAAGAGAACACCAAAATAAAGGCCAGAGCGAGCTGTAGCCTACTCCAACATCCCTAACTAAGCGTCGAGAGCCTGAGACTCGTGCTTCCACCCCTGAGCGTCGAGAGCCTGAGTCTAGCTTTGACCTTGAGCCTGAGCCTAGGGCTGCTGTCCGTGCTCGTGTTTCTCGTACTCGTCGTCCGCGTGCTCCGGCTGTCCCCGGCACTCACAATATGACACTCCGTCCTTCCTCTGTTCCTCAGCGTGTTGTCCTACCGTTACCTCCTGCGTCCTCTCTGCCTTACGTTGCTGACCCTCCGTCTGACCTTGCTCGTGCGTCCAGTCCGACTGTCACTCGCCTTCTTGCTACGGTTGTGACGGTCCCTACGTTCTCGTCTCCTGCTGCGTCTACCCTAGTAGCTGAGCTCGTTGAATTTGCTGCTGTGTAACGCCTCGACTACCTTGCGAGTCTTGTCTCTGACCCTGTCCCTGCCTGTCCTCCGTCCGTCGGGGGTGAGACTACTCCTGGCTGTACTGCCCTTGGCTGTGACGTTCTTGAGGACAGGCAGGAGGAGCTGGAGTGCCTTGCGGTCGCTGCACCCCATCACGCGACCATGCTGCTTGCCCCTGAGGGAGACCCGGATGCACTTGACATCCCCACCCCGCGCTCCTACAGGGAGGCGATTTCGGGTGAGTACTCCTCTCAGTGGCAGACAGCCATGGACGCAGAGATGGCTTCCTGGAAGTCCACAGGCACCTACGTCGACGAGGTTCCCCCACCTGGGGCGAACATCGTCACTGGCATGTGGATTTTCAGGGTGAAGCGGCCGCCGGGTTCTCCGCCTGCCTTCAAGGCACGTTACGTTGCTCGAGGCTTCAGTCAGCGTGAGGGGGTCGACTTCTTTCAGACCTTCTCCCCCACCCCGAAGATGACCACTCTTCGGCTGTTGCTACACGTTGCAGCTCAGCGTGACTACGAGCTGCACTCCCTTGACTTCTCGACAGCTTTCTTGCAGGGTAGCCTTCACGAGGCCATCTGGTTGCGCCGTCCATAGGGCTTCACTGGGTCGTTTCCTGAGGGTACCTAGTGGAGCCTACGGCGACCAGTGTACGGCCTGCGTCAGGTGCCCCGCGAGTGGCACGACACACTGAGGACGATACTTGCGGCTCTTGGGTTTGCTCCTTCGACGGCTGACCGTCGCTGTTTCTACACACCGACACTACTCTGTCGCCGTTCTTCATCCTCGTGTACGTCGACGACTTGGTTTTTGCTACTGCTGACACTGAGGCACTGACCCTAGTGAAGGCGGAGCTGCAGGAGAGACACACATGCACTGACCTGGGTCAGCTGCGGAGCTATCTTGGCTTGCAGATCACCCGGGACAGAGCACGGCGCACCATCACCCTCACTAAGTCACACATGGTGCAGCAGGTCCTTCAGCGCTTTCGCTTCACGTGGTCCTCGCCACAGCCCACTCCTCTGTCTACCGGCCACTCGCTCTCAGCTCCACCTTCGGACGAGTCCGTAGAGCCGAGTGGTCCGTACCCAGAGCTTGAGTACCTGATGACGTGCACACGACCTAACCTCGCGTACCCTCTCAGCATCCTGGCTCGCTACGTGGCACCCGGTCGACACCGAAAGGTGCACTTTGATGCTGCAAAGAGGGTACTGTGTTACTTGTGCAGCACATCGGGCATGGGGCTCGTGCTTGGAGGACGGGGTTTGGTGGTCCTCACAGGACACTCCGACGCTTCTTGGGCCGACGACCAGACGACTCAGCGTTCGTCACAGGGTTACACCTTTAGTCTTGGCTCTGGTTCTGTCTCGTGGAGGTCCACTCGTTTTTCTTCTGTGCTTGGTTCCAGCTGTGAGGCCGAGATCTACGCTGGGGCCATGGCTGCACAGGAGCTACGCTGGCTGACCTACCTGCTGACCGACTTGGGGGAGCGGCCTCGTTCTCCTCCAGTTCTGTACGTCGACAACAAGGCAATGCTTGCCTTGTGTCGCGAGCAGAGACTGGAGCACCGAACGAAGCACATTGCTCTTCGCTACTTCCTGGCGCGTGAGCTGCAGCAGCGTTGTCAGCTGCGCCTTGCTTTCATGGCCTCTCGGGCCAACACTGCTGATGTCTTCACAAGGCCCTTGGGTCTGGTGATCATCAGCGTTTCTGCACTGCTCTTGGGCTTGTGCCCACTCTGCCTCACCTGCTGGTTGCTTGACTTGCTCTTGTTGTACACTGCTATATATCTTATACCTGCATGTTTTCTCTTGCTAGGTTGTGATCAGTGTACTGCCTTGCTATTATATACCTCTGCATGTGAACTGGCCTTGTGGCCACTTGCTTTTGCTCAGAATACGTGGTGACTTTGTGATCCACCCTGAGCTGTGTTCTCTTCTGCAGACTGGTCTTGTGACCGCTTGTTGTGTTTGCTGTCCCCTACTTTGTCTATGGGGGTGTGTCAAATTACAATTGTATCTCTAGGCTACAGTAGGGTCACTCCTGTGAGTACAACACTTTAGGGTTAGGTTTCCCCTACTTGTACTCACCTCTTGCCTACTTCACTCATTCATTCATGCTTATTCTAACACGATGATCCGCCCCATCAATTGAAATAGTGTACTGTGCCTTGAGCGAGGCCTTCACATGCACTTTCCCAACTGTCTTGGTGTCACAGTTGAGAAAGGCCGTCGCAGTACCAGCCTCTGCCAGGCTGTGCTTGGGCCCAAAGAGGGAGGCAAATTGGTCACTGTCCCACTTGAAGACTGGAGAGGGGGAACGGTGAGAGAGAGGGGGGAAAGGAAGAAGAGCTGCTTTTGAGTCGACTCAAAAGCAGCCTCAGCTATACTGTGCTTGGGCCCAAAGAGAGAGGCGAATTGGTCACTGTCCCACTTGAAGACTGGAGAGGGGGAACGGTGAGAGAGAGGGGGGAAAGGAAGAAGAGTCGTGCAAGGCTCATTGCGTACCCGGCACCACTGTAGCCGGATAACAACACATGGTTACGCATACGCAACACATAGTGATGTATTTACAGTCTAAAAAAGCGTGCGCGCCAATAAACTGAGTTGACTGTTGGGTTGATTCAAGAGTAAACGCGTACCAAGCGTATCAGAGGAAGAGAAAGAAGACGGTAAAGGCCAAGACTTGACGCCAGGCCAACCCTTCTTGCCACCAACCACGTACGTTGCGGTATGCTGCATTGGAAGAGGAGGAAACCAAACAAGCACAAACAATATTTTCGAGGAGATTAAAAAAAATGAAACAAGCACAAACGGTTTTCAACCCTTGTGTCAATCATGTGTGTCGCAGAGGGGAGGAGGGAAAAGGGGTGAGAGGAAGGAGGAAGGAGGAGCATGGGGAGGAAAGGGAAGGAGGGGGAAAAGGGGGCTATGTGAAGGACTTCGCGGCAACACGCTTACCACGAGTGTCGGGCCGCCGGTTGTGCTAGAAAGGTCCAATGAGCAACCTGCACAGTCAGCAAGGGAGAAGTTGGCTGGGTGAAAGGATACGAGGTAGTCATAAAAAAACAGCTCGCAACACAACGTCAGCAGCCCCACACAGAACAGGACACGTGGAACGCCGGAGCCAAGAAGCAGAAACGCCCCGATCCACGATCGCAGGTCGGTTCAGAACTACTATCAGAGGCTCTCTGAACTATCGGGCTCAGTCGGTATGAAGCAGTTTGTAAGCGAGTCGGTTTGGAACTATCCGAGCCCCCCTGAACTATCCGAGGCTCTCTGAACTATGGGGCTCAGTCGGTAAGAACCATTTTGTCAGCGAGTCGGATCACACAAGCGAGCTAAGACTTGCGAATGGTTCATTTAGCACTAACGTATAGAAGCTTCGTGCACTAGTAGGTCTAGTGCTAAACGAGACATGATTTCACTTGTGTACCAAGTCTGGAGACCATGTAGATGTACCGGATTGAAGATGAGGAGGATTCAGTGCAGAAACTGACCGGAAACCCTAAAGACCACTTTTGAGTCGACTCAAAGGCGAATTGAAGATGAGGAGGATTCAGTGCAGAGCCTGAAAGGAAACCCTAGAGTTAACCCATTTCGGACGAAGCTTCTGCGCTTTGAGAGAGTGTACCGGCTAGCTGCGGTTGCAATAACGTACCTGAGAGCAGCAGCAGCGCTATCAGGGACAGCCGACTCGCCATCACCGTTTCCGCTTGTCTGAGGAGACAAATTCGACTTGCCTGACAATCCTCAAATCGGATTTACTGAAGGAAACAATGCGGGATGCTCTGGTGTGTTTGCACTGCTGACGCTTGTTCATATGCGAGATGCTCTGTTGTACGTATGACTACCAGGCCTCGTTGGTGCGAGCAGTGCTGGAGGAGAGTAGGAGAGCAGAAAACGCGAGATCCAACCCAACACGTCATCGAGTCCCGTTGCGTAGGCACTTGCCGCATAAGTCGGAAGCAATAAAGTCGTGAGGACGAACCGCGGGCGGCAGCCATTGCTTGATCGAGATGGTACAATGGGGATGGGCTCTCGTCATCAGCGAGTGTCGTTGGTGTGATTGATCAGTACAGAGTGGTCTAAGTCACGATAACGGCTGAGATCAACGTTCGCATTGAAAGGCTATGGGGGAGAGATGCTGGGTAGCAGGTCCTTAGAATAGCATTTGTTTTGCGAGTTCAATAGGTCTGCGAAATGTTGCTGACTTGTATCTGTCTAATCGCGAGCTAAGTCTGCCAGACTTCGGGTTTCCTGTGAGTACCTATTTCCATAAGTGTCCGAAACATAATCGGTCCTCGATGGCTCAGTTGACTCACATTTGGGTCACTTTGCCGCCTAGAAGTCCGCGGT